GGTTACTCATCAAACCGCAACAACACTCCAACAAAACAACTCACTATCGCCTGCTTGAAACGAGACTCGATCTCACCAATGAGCCACTCAAAAGCTTCCATGTTCAGCTTATGTCTTTCGGCCATCCTCTTCGAACACAACGTTGATCGTAACAAGATATTCATCAACAATGTTGCGTTATATTGAGCCTTAATATCTTTTCATTTATCATTTACCACTACAAACACTTAATTTATATGATACAATGACAAACTTCGAACGAGTGCTCCAACGAATCTGCTTTAACTAACCTGTTTACTGATTCGATCCTCTCCCCCGACGATGATCAGCTTCTTACTCAGCTCTCGCACACCCTCAATAACATTCAGTGGATTCAGATCGGTTGGTTTCCTCATCTCAACTCGAAATATTTTTTGCGCATTCCAAATCAATCGTTGTAGATTACACGGTAACACTATTTTCGCATCACCCTGCAATGGCATCACAATGATTCATCTACATCATCCACCTCACTTTCCACAAACCTTCGGGAATATTTTCCTCAGTAAACGTCGGTCCTCTTCCAGTTGAGCCCACTCACTCTCCACCGTTTTCAACGCTTCTGCTGATCCTTGCAGATCACGGATCACATTCTCCGAATAAGTTTTACGCAGGAATCTGAAATGACATTCTCGTCATTATATGAAACTAACTAATCAGTCAAGCACAAACTTTTCATCAGAGAGGTCCAATTTGAACTCCTTCTCGAACAACGCATTCGTCGGCTTCATACTCGGCATCGACTGATTCTCAACCCACATCCCGTCCAGACCATCCTCACCATATCTTCAATGATAACACTAGTAATAATGACAATAATTATTAATAAACTAACAACTCACCTCAACTGAACCATTTGTGCAATTGAATTTCGTACAGTTCCATCATAATTTACCATTACACTTTCCATAGCTTTTATTAAACGACGTTGAATGTAACCTGAATCATTCATTCAACAATATAATTCTGACAACAAAAATAATAATAATAATAATAATAACAATAATAATAATAATAATATTAACCAGTCTCGGCAGTTTTCACAGCAGTATCAATCAAACCTTCTCTACCACCCATTGCATGGAAAAAGAATTCCGATGGAGTCAATCCAGCCAAATATGAATTTTCGACGAATCCCTTCGATTCTAAATGCAACAATTATTATTGCAAACTGTAAACAGTTGATCGTTAGTGATAACAACGATAATAATCACCCGGTCCATAATCATCTTTAATAAAATGTGGCAATGTTCTATGTCGGAATCCAAACGGAATTCTCTTTCCCTCAACGTTCTGCTGACCCACACACGCAATGACCTAAACATAAAAATCACTCTCAGATAATGTCATTAAATGTCAAAGACACAAAATAAAATCTCGACATTCCAGAAAGTCTCAATATATATTTCTTAAAAATGGAATCTACTTTCCACAAAAGAGACTGTGATTTTACAATTCATTCGATCGAAACTCGCTTATAAAATCAAACAAAATGCAACCTGTGAAATATTGATCTTAGATCCCTTCGAGCCAGCCACTACCATCGCTTTGAAGTTATTGAATTCAGACAATGATCTCTGCGCACTTCCACCCGTTCTATCACGCGCATCGTTCAAAATACGATTCACCATATTTTCGAATGTTTGCCTCAGTGTATTACCTGGCGTTGGCTCTAATTCATCGTTGTGTGCCCTCAAAAAGCATCGATGATCACGTCAACTCAACTCAACACAAACAAATCAATCAATCAACCAATCACATACTTCTCGATCACCTCCACCACATCATACTTCGCCTTTCTGATCGTTTCTTGAATGTCTTTATACGTCGACTGATCAGCGATTGTGTCACCGATCCCGATCGTATGTCCTTCAGCCAACAACCACGCATTCACCACCGTCTGGATATGCGAATAGAAATGTGCGGCTACCTCCCAACCGAGTTCCAGTGTAACCACGTGCAGAAGATTACCAGCCGATCGGCCGATTGTCTTCGAGCATATTATACCCGCTAGCAACTCGCCGTGCTCGATTATCACCTAACAATTCATTATCACTGCACATTCACATCAATATACATCTAACTGCTACACATCTTCAAAATGTTGTCATCATTTCACGTCGAATACCTTAACGATAAGAACGATACCTTGGTATCTCCAGGTGATATCCATTTATAAGGTCCCATATCCTCCTCATCTGGATGTGTCGAGTGGGTTCGCAGAACATTTACATTTCCTTGAATATCAAAAATAACCAAAATAATAATAATTAATAATAATATTAATAATAACAACCACAAACGAACCCGGAATGATCAGCGTAAACACTTGTTTACCAGTCCAAAGCGGTTTTGGTTTAAGAATGGCAGGTTGTGGTATTTTACCATCCCAATTAGGCATTTGCATCAAAAGGTCCATCATTCGAGGTAATTCGATGAAGACATCTCTCTTGGTCATCATTCGAACTGCGGTCAGCGTGTCTTGCACGATACCCATCACGGGTTTATTTGCTTGTGGAGTTATCAACTGTCTGCAAGTCGTCATTAAACACTGAACAAATGCAAAGTCACAAATCACTCACCTCGGTACCATTGCAATCTCTGAAATTTCGGCTTTCGTTTCCAACGATTGTGGAAGATGTAAATTCATTTCATCACCATCAAAATCTGCATTGTATGGTGTCGTTACTGACAGATTCATCCTGAATGTTGACCACGGCAGAATCTGAACAAACAGTTTGTTGGTTATTGAAGTTGAACTAATTAAGCAAACCGATCTTAACAACCCCCTAGTAAAGAGATGTGTAGATGAAAAAATGACTTACCTTCACCCGATGACCCATCATCGACATTTTATGCAGTGTTGGTTGACGATTGAATACGATTATATCACCGTCTTTCATGTGTCTTTCCACTCTTCAAGAAATCATCTTCACTATACAAAACGCTAATCACTACATAAAATGAAAATCACAAACAAACACTAACCTATAACCAGGCTGAAGCAGCAGATCCGCAGCTCTCGGATGATATCTCAAATCTACTCGAGCACCATTTTCACGGATTATGTACTTTGCACCTGGATACTGACTATCACCACGATTCACCAACTCTTGCAATCTAAAATTTGCATTTCTTTTCAAGTCACTCAACTAAACTAATGTATACTTTCACAACACACATACCTACTACAATAAAAATATTACCAATCTAAATACGAACATCAATAACATATCAAAAACTTGTCAATATAAATATCTGAGTATCAAAATCTAAATGTCAAATTGGGGTTGGGTGTGATGACTAAATATCAAATCTAAATCAGGAAATATCAAAAACCAACTTGTCAACGTTAAACGGAGTAACAATCTCCGGAAATGTCATATTCTGTGCAATCGTTCTCGGTACACCGACTGTATCAATTGGCAAATTCGGGTCAGGTGTGATCACAGTTCGAGCGGAGAAATCCACTCGTTTACCCATCAAATTACCTCGGATCCGACCTTCTTTCCCTTTCAGTCTCTGCTTTATTGATTTCAATGGACGACCGCCCTTTTGCGTTGCCTTTAAATATTATCATAATATTATCATATTATATTATATTATCATATCATAATTATAATATTATTATCATAAATCATAAATATCATAATATTATCATAACAAATATATTTGAATACATTCATCATTCAAAAATCCAGCAATAACTCACTGTTGGAATGCCAGGGATGCAGTTATCGACGAGCGTCGCAACGTGATACTGCAATAGTTTGACATCGTCTTGTATAACGTGATCTGCTGCACCGTTTGCTTCGTTTCTGTAAGTTTCTAGGTGAACATAACAATGCTATAATAATAAATTATTAAATAACGATCATAACAAATAATAATAAGAACCAACCGTCGTAACTGATTATTTGTCTTAACAATATCCGATAGTTTATGCGTTAAATCATCCTGATTTCGAGCTGATCCAAAAGTCACCACACATGGTCTCACAGCCAGGGGAGGCACTGGCAAAACCTGCGCAATCATCCAGTCTGGACGGGAAAATCGTGGATCCATGCCTTGAATTCATACAGTAAATCTTTTACCGTTATCGGTCACACTGTTATCAAAAGATGCAATAAACGTTTCTTTCTGTCAAAAAACAAAAATAAACTCACCCAAAACAAGACAATCTGCGTCAGAAATTCCTTTGAATATTTCCAGTGCACGTTCTGCCGTCAACAGTATTTTACGTTCCTGAAGTGGCGATTGATTCAGTCGACACAACTTTTTATTTGTGCATCCCATTTTTGCAACTATTCAACTAGAAATACCTGTGTGTCTTCGTTGACATGTTTCTTCCATTCGGCCACAATCTCGAGTCCAGTTCTGCGATAAGACGGTTGATAGCGACCACAACCACCCGCTTTAACTTCTTTTTCACCCTCTTCTCCCTCCTATTTCAAATTTGATTACTACCTCGACACGAGCACCACTTAATCAGTAATCGTGGAAATCACCTCATTATTAACATTCTGTAGTTCATCGCCACCTTCACAAACACTCTTTGACTTGCACAAGTCGTACATTAAAGCGAAACGTCTCCTTGGATTGCCATTCGTTTTCTTCAATATCTCTTTAACTCGTGCTGAATCTTTATCCACTAACAAACGACTACAGTAGAAACAAACACATCGAATCATCTGAAATTAATATTATAACTGATAACAACCGTTTTGTATGAATACCACCGTATTTCATTACGGGATTTAGGCATAAACCTCGAAAAGACACTGATAACATTGAGTTGAAAATAAATGATACGATAAGAATATCATCAATTCATTACGGACTGTGATAGCAATGCGATAGACTTAAAAATAGAGCACAATAATCGAACCTTCAAAGATTTNTAACATTGAGTTGAAAATAAATGATACGATAAGAATATCATCAATTCATTACGGACTGTGATAGCAATGCGAAAGACTTAAAGATAGAGGATAGTAATCGAACCTTCAAAGATTTAGTGATGAATCCAATATGAAAAACAGGCTTTGCAAGTTCCAGATGTGCAAAATGCCCCGGACAATCGGCCATATTGCCCGCACACGTCATACAACGTCCTCGTCGATCCACAACCCCTTGACGTGGGTCCATCAGTCCACCCAACTTTGGCTTGCCATTTTCGTAGATCTCCGAGAATTCTATCGCAGCAACTGACATTCGCTTCTGAATAATTTCATCAACTAATCAATTTACGTGATCGAGAACAGATACCACTCCTTAACAACTGATTCAACTCTCAACGAATTTATCACATTCAACATTTTCGGTGTCATGCAATTCGTAGGAGTACGCTTAGGCCTATATTTACGCTTAGCCTAATCAGGCTAACGCATGCACTTCGGCTTGTGGCCTGTTATCTGTAAAAGTACCGAATAAAGTTATATGCTCACCACTTCATCTGGACTAAGAATACCGAATTGTACACGCTTCACGTTACGTAAAGGTGCCCGAAAATCCATACCAACGAGAGCCATCTTCGAGAGTCAGCCGTCTGATTTGCAAATGTCTCTCGTCAATGCTGTAAGAAATCCACGTCAAACATCTAAATTTTTGACAAACTTGCAGCGAAATCGATTCTCAGCGAACGACACAATACAACAAAACAAGTCTGATCACGGGTTCGATCCAGAATTCTAGTTACACATTCTGATTGCCCATTGTCTATTGATGCACAATTGCATTAGCATTTGAAATTGTACATCAATAACCGTAGATTGACCAAAATCATATTTCTGATTTTACGCAGTTTCTTAAAACGATGAGAGATGTTTTGAAGTATTATATCCGTATGTAGCTAGTCATATGTCATAAAAAGCCATGATGATAAGGCTCGTGGTTAATTTATGGATGATAGAACTTATCCAGTTGGGTACATTTATTTGCAATATCTCTGAATGCACATCGAACATCACATGCATTTAGAACGTCTCTGTGAAGCAACTAGCCGATAGCACAGACTGTGGCAATAAGCTTTGCAAATCAAGCGTTTCCGTCTTTATATATGCATCAAAAAACTTTTTTGTACTTTCGGAAATGATAAGACGACTTTCGAAATTACATCTCATGATTGTTTTTTTGACTTGCACAAGTCGTACATTGCATAGATACGTCGGATTTGCTTTTGAGTGAAAATTTTGTGACTTGTTCGAATTCAGTTCCTGTTTACGATTCACTTCTGCGTTCGCAATTGCTTCAACCATAAAAAAGCGAAAAAAAAAAGAAAACAAAACAACAATTTCCACACCGAGATCGAAACAATTAAAACTGATCTTCAAAATGATTTGTAGCAAAAAAGCCAAAACCCTCACGTACGCACGCACGTTTCATGGCGAGANGAATGAGAGGAAAGTGCTTTGCAGATGCGCATAACGTCAACTAACTGACAATGCGTGAATGTTATGTATATTATTACTGACAAAAATGTGTCACCTGCCCATTTAAGAATAATACATCGATGTTGGACGTTTCGGCTTTGCGCCATCTTCAGGAACATCATTTGAGTGAAGCCGAAACGTCGAACGCCGATGTATTATTCTTAAGTGCGCAGGTGATATATATTTGTCAGTAACAATACACATACCGTTCTGAGTCATCTACGCCTCATAAACAAGCAAAGTTTCAAACAATTCACTGAATGTTGTGAAAACCGAAACGGTAAATTTGCAATAGCAAAATTTCCGCGAATGATTCTAAATTAAATTCTCTACAACCTCAGAAATATTCTGAAAAGATGCTCGTCTCGTTTTTGATAATGTACCTTAACATGAACAGTCACTATGGAAAAAATCCTTTCAGTAGGTAACACCATTAAAATGTTGGTGATTAAGAATTGCGATCAACCTTATCAGTAATCAATTACTGACATTTGCTCTTACAACTGATTACAACTGGAAACATATCCTCAAGGTTATTCTCAAACACATGCATCAGCAATATCTGATTGAGACTTTCATGGGTAAATTTTCAGTCAGACAGGTTTTGTTGCGATGTTTCATCCTTACTCAGGAAATTTGTTTCTCCTTTCAACGAGACCTAAAGCCTGAGCTTCAGGTCAGGTGCAGGCAGCACTGAAATACATCAACTTCCTGGGCCTGATCGAAAATTAGTTCGCCTTGCACAATTATCGCCTCTTTCTTTGTGCTCTGCCTAACCGCATCGCTTCAGAAGTGCGGTTTGACTCTTTTCCAAAGGCTTCTCTAAGTGGTTTTGTTGGGTTGGGATGTGACCTTACCGCTGGAAATTGAAACGAATCGAGATTATGGTGGTTTCGAAGGAGCGGATTGATTTGGTTTCGTTGATGATTTATGGATTTATTTGCAGCAATTGGTTGTTTTTGAATGTGATTTGATAAAGGCAATTCGAAAGAGATTACAGTAGTTTTAGGTCGTTTCTTAGTTGCGTTAGTGTTATAGGCGGTGTGTGTGTCATTTTGATTTCATCATCCTCATAGCCGTACTATATATATTCGATTCATTATTTCTGAAGGCCACACCCCTCGCGGCATCATCTTTGTGACTCCATTTGGTGCGGGTCACAAGTCGCTGCATTCACTGAAAAAAAATTTTATGAAAATTCCATAAAAACGAATAAAATTTCCTGAAAATCATCAAAAAAATTTTAAAAATTCCAAAAACCTAATCATCAAAACCGACTGTCGTTGTTTTCTGTTCGGCTCATCAAGCAATAAATTTCATTTCGATCAGCGTTTCGTCTCAACCAAGTTTCCACCGAACACCGTCAACTTCCATTGTTTGAGATCATCCTTCTCGAACGTTGTCACTTCATTCATTTCAAGTTGGTCATTTTAATTTTATGTTTTAAAATTATTTATTTTATCCTCACTTATCACTTATGCATTGTCTTGTTCCTCTCCTAAATCTCCATAATTGTCGGAAGTATCTCCCTGAATTGTAAGTTTAAAATGATTATGGATTTCATTTTCCGTTGTGAAAATATGAATTTTCAACCGTTTACCTTGTCCCTTTTAACGTAAGCTCTTGATTAAGGTCGTATGCAAATTCTCAAATTTTTGATTTTGCTTATTCGTGCAATTTTGTTGTTTTTGATTATTGTTTGGAGTTAGGTGATATCATTGGGCTGAGTTCGGTTCGTTTTATGTTTGGTGTGAAGAGTTTATTTTCGGGATGATTTGTTTTTATTGGTATTTGATCGGTGTTTTGTTATGATGGATAAGGTCACGTTTGGGATAGTGATGAGATAAATCTGTTGCCAATCGTATGAGCGACCGCACTGCATTCTTTCTGTAGGTAACAGTAGTAGAATGTTGGTGATTAAGCATTGCAATCGACCTTATCAGTAATCAATTATTGACATTTGCTCTTACAACTGATATTCACCTACTGCACGCTCACCGTAAACCAGTGGATTATTGTTAGCTGTTAAGACTTACTTCCCTATCGTCCTTTTCCATTTGGCAATTGCTATCGAAATTTGTTCAGAACGAAATTCGTCATGTTTATTTCGGGTAAAACTGATTTGATTGAGAAGTGTGGCCATTTTTTGATAATGCTCAGGAAAGGTTTGTTGTCTGCAAAATGACTATGGTATTCATAGAGGTGCTGTTGGTTCGTAAATAAACCGGTTTTCACCGTACCCAACCGTTATCTATGCCCCTCTGTGAGCAGTATCGACCAAATTAATCTGCTCTTGTGATTGTTTGATTGATATGCGTCCACATTGGTAATTCGTCATCAAATCGTTTACAGAATTCTTCCTCCTTCTGACGATGAAAACAACAAAAAAATCTATTTGCATTCTTCTATTTATTCATTTATGAGTGGTCGTATTTGGTACCATCATGATTTCA